AATTGAATTGAATTGAACAGTGTGGGAGGTCCTAGCTCACCTTGAGGCCCAGCGAGCAGAGGAACATCTGGGCAGCTCGCTCTCCACAGCTGGTCAGGTAGCAGCCCAGCAGAGCCTCCACACAGTCAGCGATGCTCTTGTCAGCGATGCACTGCTCTGTGTGCAGGTCGTAGGAGATGGACTGTTTGCCGAGCTCTGCACCACAGTTCTCCTCCGATGGATTCCAGAAACCCACCACAAAGTCGTCCTCTTCTCCAGCCTTGCTGGGATCCAGATAGCACATGGCATCCCACGAGCTGTAGTCAAACTCCTCTGCAGAGGGCCCGCTGGATGCCGGCTCTGAGGGGTAGTGGGCAGGGGTGGGATGGAGGGGCTTCTTGGGCGCTTTCCACTCGTACGGAGACTCCATGGCAGGGGAGGATCCGGAGGCCGGGGTGAGAGAGGGAGGGAAGCCGCTCAGAGAGATCTTCTTACCAAAAGCACCAGATCCCAGCAACATGTTGTCAATGAATTTGATGTGCTCCTTGTAATACTCCAGATCGTCCTCCATGTTGACTTCATCCTTTGGCTCGTCCTTCAGCATCAGCTCACCATCCTCGTCCACCTCCTCGCCCTCCTCATCGTCCTCATCATAGTCATTTCCAGACTGCCCGTTGGCCAGAAGCTCCTCTTTTGCCTGGATGATGTACACAAAGAGCAGGAGAGAACAACCAATCAGAGTGGGCAAAGACAGAAAGACACTTGGTTGGNNCTTTCACTATAAGTATATGGAACTGGTAATCTGTTAAAAAATCAGGTTCTTTGGCTCCTCCTACAGCTCCTAATGGCATTTGCAAGAATCAACCGCGTCTGAACAAAAATTACTAATCAGAGCAGAGAAAGACAGAAAGACACTTGGTTGGTGGCTTGAAGATAGCTAATTGCTTGATCTCATTTGCAGCATCGGTATTTGAAAACCTGGGAATTAGACTCAACAATGGACTATCTTTCTCGGCTCTGATTGGTTGTTTTTATTGCCAGGTGGATTCTGTGCCATTAGGAGCACTAGGAGGAGCCAGAGGAACCCAATTGTCTCAGATTATCTGTCTCAAGTTCTACTGTCAGGATATAGTGAAGGTTTCAGCAAATATGACAAAAAACGAAATCAGTCAGTTGATAAACGTATATTACTATATGACTGAGGTGTTGTTCAGTGAGCAGTTTGATCCAAGACTGGGTTATAATAAATGAAACATAATAGGAAATTGTTGTGAAACACTGTCAACATTATAATATGATATGTAGGAGTAGAGCCTAGAGTTAAAGGCTATGGGACTTAAAACCAAAACACAAGCATGGTGTATTGCCAGACAAGGTAAAGGGCTGCCCTCTAGTGGCCTGACTATATCTTAACACTAACAACATCTATGACGAATGAATGGATGAATAAAATAATGTATTCTCTAAATCCTAGGTCTAACCCTTACAAATACCTATTGCCAAACCCAAATCCAGCACCTTGAAGAGGTTAGACTAAGAAACATGTTGTCACTCTGCAGCTGTACAATTCAGCACACACAGTCACACAGACGAAACAAGTGGCAACAGAGTGTGTAAAGTCAGAGAGCAGCAGGATGTTCACTGACCTCCTCTGAATCCAGTTTGTCTGTGCTGCTCTTGTCCTGGTTGACCACATAGCCAGGGGGCAGCCAGTTAACGGGGGGGTCGAAGATGGACACCACCATCCTGCTGGGGAGCCCCTTCTTCTTCCCCAAACGGTACAGGTTACAGTTGCTCACCTGGGCATGGGCAGACCAAATAGGATGAGTCGATGCCTGCATCATCGGTAACATACTGTAGCCTTAGGTAGCTTTAATACAACAGTCAGGTACGATTGTTGTCTGGATACTAACTGAGACGTTTCCAGAGTTGGGATTGGGAACACATTCTTCCGACTTACGTGTTTTCATGACCTTTAAAGCTACAGGTAACTTTTATAAAAAATAAAAAATAAACATTTAGTCATACTTGCAGAAACCTTCACTATATTCTGACAGTAGTACATGACACAGATAATCTGTGAAAAAAATCTGGTTCCTCTGGCTCCTCCTCTTCCACAATTCATTTGTCCCATGTACTACTGTTAGAATAGTGACAGATTCAGCAAATATGACAAACCACTTCTTTTTAGGAAAGTTACCTACTACAGCTTTAATCAAGAAAATGATCAACGGAGTAATTATATTATTATATCTTGACTCAAAGTGCAATGAGTAGTAGTGTGTGCATATATGGTTACAACAGCATATCCCTGACTAAACTGCCCATCTAAGTGTTTGTGAAGCTGTGCAACAACATTCGATACCACAGCAGTGCATATAATAGTAGCCAACACTTACTAACAATTCATAGAAAGGAACTGATACATTCATTCTTAGAAAGGTCCCTGGAGAGGACTACAAAATGTGCTAGGTAATAATGGAGATACTACTGGAGATATAGCAGAGTCAACATTCAATTGGTCTATTTCCAGTCATAAACTGTTTAGTTTATTCAGTTTATGTGAAATGTATCTTTCAGTTGTTAATTAGAGGCAAGCATACCATTGACCAAGCAAAGAAAATATTTCTAACAGTACATTAGTATTTACAAGATTCATTCAGAGAAGCAATAAAGTCTGACGAGTAAATTGTTGATTCTGACCACAACTGTCATTCCCCGTATGAAGCCGCAAGTCGTGACCTATCTTACCTTCTTGCTGCGCATGTAGCTGAGTCGACCCTCATGAGCGTCGGGGTAGGTGCAGAACAGGTATGTGGTGATGGCGTGCTTGAGGAAAGAGTCTCCAAGCATCTCCAGCCGCTCCAGGTTGAAGCCATCGCTGGCGTTGGATAGGGTCAAAGCCTGCAGGATGAGGCCCGGGTTGGGCCCCAGGCTTTTGGGGGAGTCTCCCGCCTGGGCTCCAAGCTGGGGGACAACAGCGAGGTCGGGAGAAGGTGCTGTGGGAGCATTGGGACCCGTGGCTGCCCGGCTGCAAACTGAGGTAGCTTTATTTTTGTGGTCTGAGGTCCTCCCTGGTGTACATTCATCACTAGGCTGCGGAGGACTGGAGCTGGGCTTCTTCAAGCTGTGAGAGGGCTGCACAGGAACTGAGGTAGTGGTTTGTATTGATTCAGGGCTCTGCAGCCCAGGGGAGCTGGGCTGGGAGCGTTGGCAATTGTCATGTTGGTGAAGGTGCTCGTCTTGGTGGCCTTTGTCGTCACAGTTGGCGACTAGGGCAGTGCCATTGATTAGGTTCTTCGTGCAGGTGGCTTCTCCGGGCTCGAGGGCTGCACAGGGCCGGGGAGAGTGGTGACTACTGGGATGTGTTAGGGAGTTGGGGTCAGGGGTTACAGTCTCTTGGTGCTTACAGTGACCCTCTCCGTCCTCGCCACAGGACTCTGGGCAGGAGATGAACGTTTTGCTGTCAATAGATCTCTTCCAGCCAAAGTCCAGGTTTGGATACCTGCCACACACATACACACACACATCTATACATTAGAATGCTGGGAAACTGCAGTTAAACACAAATGATCCAAATCTGAAGAGAACGTCCTGATTCAACAAATGGAATAACTGAAAGTGGATCATTTCATATGTTGTGTAGAGTATGTAAAGGGGACCTGAAGTCAGGGGGCAGGGTTTGGGCTCCCACTCCAGCTTCACTGGCTGTCTGGGCTCGGAGCTCCTCGGCGGTCAGGAGGCAGTGGAGGCGGTAGAGGATGCTGGGTAGACACACTGCTTTCCTCCACAGGGAGGCGGGGATGGGGTGGATGGCGCACAGCTCTGGAACCAGGATCTGATAAACACGAGACACCATTAGACCAGGACTGTTGCAGTACAGAACCAACGTAAGGTTATGTAGCTCAAACTCACTTCTGTAGTGATGCTCACACTCACACTGACACACCATGTCTAAATGTATACCAACAGCAGTGCTTTGTGTAAGGAAAACCAGGTATTTTCAAGCGGTGACTATACTGGATCAGAGCACATACACAGTACATGATCACTCCATAGTAAATATTCACTATTATTTAACTGATTTCGATGATGAAAATGCAAAAATGAAAAAGGAACTTTTGAAATAAAAATTTATGACAAACTATATTACAACTTTATGATAAATAAAGAGCAGTACAATGGACCGACAAATGAACAATGCTATTTGAGGGACCTGCATGTATCTATGGAATCATGCATTTTAGACAGTGAACAGTATTATCATAGACCAAATACACTGCACAGCAAATCTGGTCAGTTATCACAGCAAAAAACATTTATACACCTTCTCAACAAGCACAAGGTATATGCCGTTTATTATTGGATGACACTGCATTGCACTGCAGCAAACGTTTTGCCTGGGGACCCTGTGGTTTGACACATGGTTCTCACTGTAAGACAACAGAAGCAGCCGTTACCTGTTTGTTCTGCAGACTCTCCCACTTGGCCTTCCTCTTCTCTGCGCTGCTGAGGGGCAGGGCTTTCCCCTTCTGGTTCAGGTGCCGAGGGGTTAGCAGGTTCAGTCTGAGAGCGCAAGAAAACTGAGTGTCAACTGTATACCCATCAGAAAAAAGAATGCAGGGGCATGCTTACACTGTGACTTTATGACACTGTGCTTTAACATTTGGCTAATGTAGGCCAGGGCCTCAAGCAGAAAGGAGGAGTGGGCTCCACACCAGCATTTGTTTTTTTTTGCCATTTTAAATCTTTCAGCGCAAACTGACTCAAGTGACATCACTCAAGTGAGATTACTTGAGGCAATTTATCACACTGTTCCTTCTGGAGACACAAAAGGCTTTATGTAGCCAATGTAGTAGTACTCCCCGAACCTGAAAACACACTCTGAAGTGTATAAGTGGACAGTGGTTTACAGTTATATTTAACTGTCATGATCCAGGGTTTCTGCAGGTTTCAACAGGTCAAATTTATAACTTTTTAAAGCCTTTTTAAGACTATTATGAATGCAATTTAAGACCTATTATATGCCAATTAGGGCTAGATTTAATTTTTTTACAAAAAGAAAACAAAAAAATTCAAAAATCATGATGATGTGAAAGTTTTGGCAGTCTGTAATAAGCAACCACCTTTTTTTAAATCTGGAGAATAAAATGTATAGGCCAGGACAGCACTACAGTATTTCATTATGATGCTGCTTCGTCACCCATTTTACCTTTATCAAAAGATTGCAGCTTCTGGGATTTGCGTATTGCACATGGCCATATTGCAGTTGCGATAATATTTTGATTAACTGTGCAGCTAAAATTCAGTTTATTTGATTTTAGACTTTTTAAGACCCCCTGAGGATCCCCATGCTGCTGACCTGGAGGAGGTGTGGTCTACATCCAGAAGCGGCTGGTTGAGGTTGGACAGGTCAAGGTTGTACTTGGTTTTGTAGTACTCAGCAAACGTCTCATACTCTGGTGAAGGAAACTTGCTAAGCGGTGTCAGGTCTGTGTACACATCAGCGACATAGAAGCGATGAGGCTGGTCGAAGTTGCGATACCTGGGAGGGGAGCAGTCCGTGTCAGTTTGTTCCTTGGAAGCATTTACACACAGTACAACCGCTCTTCGATTATCTCATAAAGGAGTTCATAAGGTACCTTGGAATGATGACAGCATCCTGGTAGTCCTCAAGCTTGAAGGTGAAGGTGTTCTGCTTGGTGTACTGAGTGGTAGGAATGCCAGTGCGGGCCTCAGACTTCTCAATGTCCTCCATGAATTTAAAGTCCATATCTAGTGTGTTCAAGTCCCCAACTAAAGCATCAGAGGATTATAGAAGGAAACCAATCAGCATCTCCACACATCTGGAAAAGTAATCCACCAAGCTTGCCTGCGAATGACTCTACTCACCAACATTCAGAGGTAGAACGCAGTACGCCGAGTCAGCCAGTGTGGGCTTGAACTCCAGGGCAGGTTTCTCCAGGCGGAGGATGTGGGAGAAGATGTACTGGTGCAGGCGGGTGATGAGGTCGAGCTGGGCAGCATTCAGTGTGAAGCCGGACTTCTGCAGCTCGATAGAGATGGTCACCTCACCCGAGCGAGTGTACACCGGAAAATGGGGGATCTGGACAGAAGGAAAGCATCATTTATCATCCAAAACCAATGATGAGAGGACGGTGCTCAACATTTAAAGAAGTGAAGATGTGTCTGAAAGAATTTAGGATTTAACCAGGCAACGCACTCGAGGTATGGGTTTGGCAGTCAGGATGCCGAAGCACCTGGTGGTGTCCTCCGGTGGGTAGAGCTTCCTCCTTCGGAAGTTGAGTTCATCCGGGAGAGGGGTGGTGAGGACCATCCCAATCACATATAAGTAGTAAGTCTGCTCCGGTACTGCGTAACTGTCCCGCAGACACTCTGGTATCTGGAGGGGACAAAAAGGGGGGAAACGATGTACACAATCTGCACAAGCATTTCAAATGCTCATTGTTTGTGACACATAAATAAACAGACATTAAACAGGTCCAATGTGTAGGGTTTAGGATCTATTGGCAGAAATGGAATCACAGAGTTCACCATGTTGAGCTGCCATGTTTCTACAGTAGCTGAGAACGGACAAACCAAACATTGGCT